GATTTTAAAGCCTGCAGTGCTTTGATGTGCAGCCCTGTGATGCCTGGGCTGCTCAGTTACCTGCTTGCCCTCAGTCCATTGCTGCTGCTGGGAGCTGAAAAAGCCCACCATGTTCCAAAAAAAAAAAAAAAAAAGCAGTACAAGCATTTTTGCATAGACGCTCCCTGTGTTCCTGGGCTGTGGGTGTTCAATGAAAGCGATCAGTGAAAACCCCTGAACAATAAACTCATTCACATGGTATCTCTGATCCCCAGCTGGGCACGGCGCATACAGAGTGGTGAAGGTGTGTGGAGGAAGGGGAGCAAGACTTGCCTGACACGCTGGTAAACACCACAACAGCAAAGTGAGGGCTCGTGCCTTGCCAGGAGGTGCCCAAAGACACAGAGCTTGTCAGTGCTTTGAGCTGCAGGAGCAGGCTGCTGGCAATTTTGTTAGTGACACAGACAGACCACGGACCCTGGAATTGCAGGGCTACAGGGGCCTGCCTCCACTGCCCAGTGTTTATGGTCAGGAGAAGGAGTAAGTCTCAGTGGCCATTTTGGGGGCAGTAAAAGGAGCACCCCCAGGACTGGCACCTAAACACACACTCCAAGGGCCATTGCTGCTCCTCAGATGGGGTTGAAGCCAAAATCCATACGCCTCCATGCCCATCTGCAGTGAGACTGTCCTGGCCTGGAGAGCACTGAGGAGGTTCATGTCCACCCGATACAGCTCAGAGCATCCTCAGGTGCCCTGTTTGCATAAGAAATGCAGCTGTGCTAGAAGAGACAGAAATATTATACTGGCACAGGTGACTGTGTGTAGGAGGGGTTGGTAGAATGGACACAGTAGATGTATAATTGAGACAGGCTGTGGTTTCAGTCACAGAAAAAGGTTTAGTCTCCTAAATCCCTGCTGAGTAAATGACTCTGCACTCCTGCTGCCTATTCCCCAAAGTCCCCTCCCATCTCCAAAACTCACCACATAAGTGAGAGTTACTGCATAGATTATGAGGTTATGCAGGACATTAATTTTCATCTGCATTTCAAGGAAGGCTCAGCCCAGCAGTTGAAAATTGTATTGGATTTGGTACAGGGGAATACATTGCCTTGTTTTCTCCAGTTGCCAATTACACCAAGACAATTAGCTAAACACAACAGCTGTGTTGATGCTCAGCTGAGGAGAAACCACATATGTTTGCATAGAGCCTAGATCATGTTAATATGAATCAATCCATTTCTGACTCTGATTAACAAGAGTTTATAAAGGGCCTCAGATTGTTACCAGGGATCGTGTCTTTCATTCACATCTCCACTTTGTGGCTCAATCCCAAGCACATCTCCTTGTATTTGCAAGAGCTTGTTAAAAAGAACACATGCCAAAATCCCAAACAGACCCACACCCCTTTTCCCTCCCAGGTAAAACATGTTAACAAGCAAACACCTTTTCTTTCTATGAAGTCACCATTTTAATCCTTATCAACACTAAACTGTTGGCTTCTGCAAAGAAGACAACCTCTCCTCCATAGACAAACAACTCTTGTCTCCTTAGAGGAGCACTGCAAACACTAGCAATGCCCTGCAGAGCACCAGGAGACCCTCATATAAGAAACATTAAGCTTCTGTCTTTGCTCAACAGAGACAGTAAAACAAGAATGCCAAACACCTTTCTTTGAAGAACTGAGCTGCAAGTCACTCTGATTTCCATTACAGAGTTCTAACGCATTAAGAATGCAGTAATAACCTTACAAACCTCTCCAGGCTCATATCACTTGACATCTTAGACTATGCACATGGGGCTGCATCATGGGGGAATCACCTGTGACAGTGGTGACAAGGGGTGGGTTTGGGAGGGCTTGACAGGGGTGGCAGGTAACAGTGCCACCAACACCCTTATCAGTAACAGTGCATTCAACACCTCCTCCCCCCTCCCCAAGGCTGGAGATGGCTGGTCACGGACCAGTCAGCCACACCTGGCATGCAGGGCAGGGACCCACAGTGCTGCTCTAACAGGGAGCACAAGATGAGACAGTTGTCTAAATCTCACATTCAAAGGTAAAACACATGGGAAGGAGGAGAGAGGGTGCTTGCAGGGAATGGAGGAGGAGCAAGAGACGAGTAGCTCTGTCCTTGTCCCTACGTAGCTGTGGGTACAGCGACCGCCCTCACTCACGCCTGCTCCCTGCAGGTCTCCCCTTGGGCTGTCGGGTCTGTTGCCCCTTATGCCTCACGCATATGTCCTCAATCACAGGGAGAAGGTGGATTTTTAAACAACATCTTCATCAATGAGAGAAGACACTGTTTACTGTAGCATGGCAGAAGAAAAAACCCTGTCACACACCGAGATCATCCTTCAGAGCTTTAATAGCCTAACGAGTCAAAAGTCTATGTCTTCCTATGCAGCTGGCCTTGCGTCCCCATGTGCAGAAGCTGGGAAAGGAAACCCATTCCCAGGAGAATTTCACCATCCCTCCTTCACTTCTCATCATGCGAGTCCAACAGCTCAAGCTCTTCCCACTCCGCAGGTGCCACCCTGCCAGCCACCAGCCCTGGCCTCCCAGGCTCGCACCCCACCTGGCCCTGCACGCTCCACCCAAACAGATTCCTGCGGCTGCTTCACCCTGCCTTCCAAAGAGGAGGGACACCTCTTGCGCCTGCCAGAGCTCAGATTAAAGCACATCCCTGCCTATGTTTAAAGGAAAGAAACGCTGCTGTTTGCTGATGCTTGCAACCTTCATTTCTTAAGTAATTGGAAAGATCCTGTAGTCAAATTCCCCTTCCCAGAACACCAGTTCATTGCTCAACAGCGCTGAGTCCACCCATCTCTATCATTACAGGATTTCCCTGCTCAATCGCTCTGCCTGGCTAGCGCCAAGGATGAAGACTCCCCATGGCAGCAACAAGATATCCCCACCAGAACCAGCACATCTCCCCAGCGCTTATTAACAGCAACTTACCTGCCTGCTTTCTCCACCTGCTCCTCAGGGCTCCCAACTCCCACAGGTTCTCCCCCAGCCCGGCCCTGCCCAGCCCTTCCCCCCCTACCCACCCCATCAGCCCCAGGTGACTCCAGTCACCCCTCCATGCTGGGGACACCTGCCCCCCTGCTAAACGAGATGTTGCCATCACCTGTGGCTGCCCGGCGGAGCTGGAGATGCCTCCCTACCCTCATTAATGCACCCCCACTCCCACGCGCGCACATTCGTTACCAGTAACACAAAAAGCACTGGCAAGGCTCTGCAATCAGTTGCACTTGCTATTCATTACACATGTGCAGAACACATCCCCGCTGCTCTGAGGGAGCAGTGTGCATATTTAAAAAGACAATATACAAAACATAGCTGAATCTTAATGAATCTACTGCTTTGCTACTGGAACTGAATGGAATTGTACAGACCCTGCCAGAAAAACAAAAACTACACAACTACACAATATTTGACTTGTAATATAGTCTTTAACATCACTTTTTCAGTATATTACTATTGTGCTCATCAGCCCTGTAAAGTATTGATTTTAAGGAGGAAAAGGATCAAAATGCAACAGGCAGCACAGGGCCAGCCCTGTCAGAATACTAAAGTACTTGCATAGACAAAAAAAAATACAGAGTCCTGGCAAAAATTAACTTCATACAACATGATGCCTTAACGTAAAGTCCCCATCAGAGGAGGATTAGGGAACAAGAGCTTGACTGCATCTGCTAAGGCTGAACCAAACCTCACCAGTTTGATGGCAGCTATCATCCAAAGGGGGTCAGGTAGAAATGTATTTGTCTAGTACCGAGTCCCATGCTTAAATGTTCAAGCTCCATAAGGAGGACAGCAGTTACAAGGAGAGCCACGTGTCCTCTCAACAGGTAAAATTTACTGCAGACTTACTCTGTGCTACACAAGTGCTGGATCCACCTCCTCCTGGGAGACTTTTACACACTAACAGGAGCAGAAATCACAAAGTAGCCACGCATGTCCGACTGTCCCTCACGCCACCTCCTCCCTCCTCGGCTGGTGAGGTGCACTGAAGTTTAAGAAGTTTCCAAGAGCTGCCCATAGCACTACAGATCCGAGGTGAGCCATTCTCAGTGATAATGACCGAGCAGCATCACAGAGGAAGCGCCAGGACCATTGATTGTGGGGAAATAAATGGGCCGTGGGTGACCACCAGCCCGGATGAGATCTGCCAGAGAGAAAGCAGGGACGCAGCTCGCCTACCCTCTCCCTAACCACCAAACCTCCTTCCATTTAGAAAACAGGACACTCAATGTCGTGCCTCTTAAGCCTGGGAGGGTGGGAAGTCCATGCAGATGGGCGATTTAGGAAGAAAGACTGAGCAGGCAACGTTACCCAAATTCAAGGGCTGCAGAAGACGAAAGAAGATGCTGCTTTTAAGTAGGCAAAAAAGGTCCCGAGCCACAGATGGTGTAAAACTAGAGGTCTCCCCCGCTCCTCCCTCCCTCCCTCGCTGCCCCGTGCCTGGGCCAGGTACGGGGGGACCCGGCTGCGCTGCCCCACACCCTCCCCACCGCCGCCCGCCCGGACCCACTCGCGGGGATTCCGATCCCTAGCCCCACTCGCGGAGATCGCCTCCCTGGGGAGCTGGCTCCCGGCCCCACTTGCTGGCCGCCTCTTCCTCCTCCGCGGAGCCGGACCCTCGCCCTGGCCGCCCGGTCCCACTCGCGGGACAACATCCCCACTCCCCGGACAACATCCCCACTCCCCGGAACTGAGCTCAGGACCCACCCGCGGGGACCCCCTTCTCTGGAGCTGACCCCCGGTCCCACTCTCGGGAAACATCACCACCGGAGCTGGCTCGCAGCCCACCGCCGCCGCGCTTTCCCACGCGTGAGAACAGCGAGCGGCACCGGTCCCGCGTCAGTGGGTCTGTCCCCGCTCAAAGACCCTTCCCCACCGACGCCGCACCCGCAGCTCCCCGACCTCCCCCTCAGCGGGCAGGGCAGGGCAGGGCAGGGCGGCGGTCCCCGTGCGGGGCTGTCCGCGGAGCACGAACACGCGTGGGGCCCCGCCTCACCTTTGTATTTCTCCATGGGGGCTGCAGCGGTGGCACCGGAGCCCGGTGACTCCCGCGGGGCTCGGGGACACGGCTCTGCCTCCGCTCCGCTCCGCCGCGCTCCTGCAGCCTCTTCCCCCGGCGGCGCCGGATCCCCCGGCCGGGCCGGGCCGCCCCGCCCCGCCCGCCCCGCCCCGGAGCCGCGGAGCCGGCCGGGATCGGGGCTCCGGGAGGAGGAACGGCCGCCTCGGCCCGGGATGGAGAGCGGGGACCGGGAGCGCGGCCCCGCGCCTTGTCCCGCGCGGCGTGGATCCTCCCCATCGGCGTGGGGCCCCTCCGGCTGCCTGGGAAAAGAGCAGGGTTAGGGCTAGCGGCAGCAGCAGGAGGAGGGTGCCGTGGGGTGGCTCCTGAGGCTGCTCCCCAGGGCGGGGGTGCCCTCTGTGTTGAGGCTGGTGTTTGCTCCGGCTGCAGTGGGGCTTTGGGCACTTTCCGAGAAAGGCCGTGGACGTCCCGAGATAGCTGTGTGGGGTCCCGGAGGCTCCAGGTGTTAAGACCCCAGGCAGAAGTTCGCCAGTGACCCACCTCCTGCCCTGCTCTGGGCTGGTGGGCTGAAGAATCGGGTTCTCCTTCCACCTTCCCCAAGCAGCTGCTGGTTGTAACCCCGAGCCAGTGAGTTTGCACTCGCCAGCAGCTTCGTTAAAGCTTCCTGGTAGGACTTGCCTCCTGGGTAGAGCAGATCTCACAGGAAGATGTCCCTGTCCTTGGGTTCCAGTAACATCTTTCTTGCTTGACTTCCACCACCCCAGGCAGAGCCACCATGCCCAAAGTGCACAAATAACACCAAATGGAGAAGTGGGCATCCAGTCTGTCCTCAATATAAGGCACAGGTGACAACTTGTTCCTCAGGTCAATATTTTGGAGACACTGGAGGAATTTAATTTTTATATCAAGAACAAGAACATCCAAAGTTACAATAGACAAGGTACACAAGGATTAAGTTTTCTCTTCAGCATGAAGGTTAAGCCATCAGCGTGGGGACAAGGGAGCCATACCTGCCTATTACAAGGTCTTCCTGGCAAGAGAAGAGGCTAGGCATCTTTCCTGAGTGGGCAGCTCCACTGTTCCTGTGGAAGGAGATACAACCATTACTTAGAAAATCAACTGCTCTCCTTTGGAGCTGAAAAATACAGAACCAGAACTCAGCTCTGCATCATTCACCAGAGCTACATCCACTGGCCCTCTGTGTGACCATCTGGTCCTCCTTCCACTGAAGGATGAGGGTCACACCAAGCTCACATTGTACTGAGATTAATCCTCATCCCACTGCTTTGACCCTCAAGGCACGCATAGACTTTGGGGTCTGGGCAAAACAGAGCGTGGGCCTGGCTCAGGCTTTGAAGTGGGGACAGGAAGACAGTGGTGTGGCCTGCAACAGAAACAAACCTCTTGCAGAGATCAGAGGGACAGGTAGTGGGTTCCCCAAACCACACAGCTCCTTGCACATTGACTCTGCTCTACAAGCTGAGCTCTTGGCCATCAGCCCACATCTGTAGAGCCTAGAGTACTCACAAATGGCTATTTCCACATACCCATCTGAGTAAGGTGGTAGGGGGAGCATCATTGTTTCTGTGCAATAGCAGGGTCATGGTGACTGCAAGGAGAGGGCAGTTAGACAGAGCTCACAAGAGGCTCACAGAATCCATATTTCCCAATTTTGGGTTCTGTCTGCCCACAGACCATTGACATCTGTGGTCCAAGGCAGCCTTGGGAAATGTTAGTGATGTGTATGTAGAAAAAAAACACAAGCCTCCATCATAGGGCCCTCCTTACATTTTCCCAAAACAGACATAAACAGGCTCTTTCAGTTCACAAGGAGAACAAGCAGCCGGGCTGGAAGGGCACTGTCCTGCCGCTCACTGGGTCCCGGCGTGCCCCTCCTGTCCCCCAGCCTCCCAGGCTGTGCTTGACAAGGGTGACACCTCACAGAGAATCTGTGTGCCTGGTGGAACCGAAAGTGACTTTTGCCACATGGAAACTTTCCATAAGAGAACAAGTTTAGATAAAGGGTTATTGCTGCTCAAGGAAGCTGCAGCTGGACCACACCTCATCTCTTGCCAGGACATAACTACCACACAAGACAGGCAAGCCAAATGCCTGAACCATCAGATCCAGCAAGCAGACAGCAGTCTTCAATGACTGGAGAAAAAACAGGTTAAATAAATATATCTGTCATGTTGGGATACTCCTCCTAGAGCTCTTTCCAGCTACTTCTTGGGTCTAGCTTTCAGAATCTAGCAGGGTAGATCCTGATCTTGCAAACTTTTGAAATGTGCCTGTTATCTTGAAGCAGGTGAGTAGTCATTCTGAACTCAGCAAGACTAATTAAGGATAATACCAGTTAAACAAACTAATTAAAAATGATTTGAAAGATCAGGATGTCAGATACCTGTGATTCCTGTCTTTGGGCTCCAGAGCCCTTACATCCCCTGCTTGTCCCTTCCTTCCCCTCCCCAGCAGTGATAAGGATGCTCTGGAATCCCAGGACTGCTGGTTAGGCTCATGGCAATTGCTGGGCAAGTAACAATGGGAGGAATACTAATGCCAGAGGAATACAAGTTCTTCCTGTTTGTCCCCTTCCTCTTGCCTAACTACTTTGGGATATTCTTTTTAAAACAGGCTGTTGTGTTCTTGGGTTTAATAAAACTGGGAAATAATCAGACCCTGCTTAGTGCAAGGAATTCATATTGCCAGTGTTGGTGCTGAAGTCTACATGTTTACCACCATGCTCAGTTAGAGCAAAGACTTGCATACTGGTTTTCCTTCTTTACACCAATAACATACCAGTCACCTCCCTGTGTACCCATGTATTCCTTGCTTTTTTCCTGCTTATTATTAGTGATGACTGAGGTGTGACAAGCTTTGAGGGCCAAGCTCATCCTGTTCAAGTCTTCTCTTTTTTTATGTGGCTGACATCCTATCCCTCGGTATGGAGGATCATACTACAGATTACATGTTTTAATGTTTTTTTCGCCTGCATATTCATGCTGTATTACTAGACAGTCTGACCACTAGTGAGATTATCACCTTTGGCTAAAGTTCTCAGGTAAGATGATATGGCTTTCAACTGATGTGCTTCTGCTTCTCTGGCCTTACGTCCTGTTTCTTTAGCACTTCTGCTTCCTGTGAAACAGAGAACTAATCAAGTATAACTTCAGAAGCCTAAACAAACTCTATAAACCATTATAATGATTTGCTAAATACTTTGTGCAGAAGCATGATCCTGATCTTCTCTTTTATCCACTGGAGGTGCTAAATGCTTTTCTTTTTTTTTTTTCCCAAATATTGACACTAAGCAGGAGTACATTGCTTCATTAATAGTACTGCTGTTACACTTACAGTTTGCATCAGCAAAGTCTTTAATGTCTAATATTTATCTGAATCTTCGCTGTGGCTTTCTTTTCTTTGGCTGCATTTGACTTGCTCTTCCCCTGGTTTAAGCATGAGTCAAAGTCTGGTGAAAGTTATTGACCTCCCCTTTGTGAAAGCTGGAGGGAATCCTACCATGAGAGCTTGTGTGCAGGTGCCCTCCACTGACTTCAGGGAAGTTATGTTTTATAGAGACTGTCAGGAAGAATCACACCTGACTTGGACCGTGCAGAGCTGCTCCCTGGGGTATTTTCTCCCAGATGCTGTTCATCCCAATTGCAGCAGTCCGTAGTGGCCAGGCCTCTGCTTTTCTTCAGGGAAAATATTCCAGCTGGCAGAATTGAAAGGAGAAATTTCCTCCACACATGAAAGGTATCTGTTGTTTCACAGGGCTTTTCTTTCTCTCTTCCCCATGAATTTATCAAGGCTGTGAAAACCTAGTTCAGGAGTCTACTCAGCAAAACCAAGCTCAGTCAGAAGTAAAATTAATTTGGTCTTAAGCTCCTGAAAGATGGGGAGCCATGTCAAATACTCCATGTGTGCAGGCACCCGGAGGACAGATGGAGAAAGATGGCTTGGCAGACTAGGGTTAGCAGTGAGATGAGCACATCAGTGGTTGCACACATGTCCTCTTTTCTTCCAAATATCATCTCAAGTATCTATTTAGATAAGAGTGTAACATTTCTGTGGACAGCTATGGTCAAGCAGGCATAAAACTTTTTCAGAGCAGTTGACATGAGAGATCTGAGCAGAGGCAGGTTTTGTGACAAATGTGAGCTGAGAGTAAAGCTGAGGTGTGTCCTGTGAAATGCCAAGAAATGAGGAAGCCAAAGGCTTCTTCACTTTGGCATCCCTGGACACAGTGCTGGGCTGTAGTGCTGCTGTAATCTGATGGGGGGGGCAGGGAATTACTTTTGTCCATACGTGGATCCCTCTGAACAGCAATAAAGCCTGTGAACCTAGGGACAGGTGAGCCAGCAGAATAATGTTACTGTCTCTGGAAGGGAGAAGTCTCTTTCTGTCTCCTCCCCCTGCTTCTGCCCAAATGATCTCTCTCTTCCTAGCATCATTTTCACAGTTATTGGACTAACTTTCATGCTGAAACAGTGGAAAATTGAAAAGGCAGATTTTTCTCCCATCTGAGAAAGCCAAATTGGGTCACCGTAGGCTCAGGGAAGACTGAGGCAGCACCGGGTAAATGGCAAGCACCTGCAGCTGGAGGGAAGGAGGAGACCATGTGAACATGTCCACACAAGCAGGTGTGACCACACAGCTGGGACTGGATAAAAGGGATCACCAGTCACAAGCTCAGCTGTCTTGAAAGTCCTTCCTGATGCTCCCTCTAGCCAGGAGCACAGAGGAGACACTGGCAGGAGTTTGGTATGTTTATGGAGTTCATACCAATGTTTTTGACCCCTGATCTGCTGAATCCTGCCTGTCTTACAGATTCTGGGGGGCAAAGGGAATAGTTGGTGTTGGAAAATTGAACAGAGCCCTCTGCTTATTCCACAAGGAGGTGTAAACAGCTGGACTCTGATAATTGTCCTGATTCATATGATCAAAGAGTCTACATCCCATGCCAAAGCTCTGAGCCACCCAGGCCCTGGGAACACGGTTTTGTGAGGAGCTGCGAGAAATGACATTGCTACATGCTTTTCTGCAGAAACATGTTAAGGATCCTGGGCTACTGATGCAGCACCAGCAATAAAACATCTTTCCCCAGAAATAACCTCTATAGGTGCTTTATAGCAGACAAGATTAGTTCCTTGGTTCCAAGAAGGCACTGGGAGCCTGCCAGGGCCCAGCCAGTGAAAAAAGCCCCAGAAGAAACAGGGAGAGGCAGATGGGTTACTGCCTGGGACAACATGGTTGTTTCAAGCAA